TTATGTATTCTGTTGCTGTGTGACATAATGAAGACAAACTCTTAAACATAACCCTGGTTCAGTTGCTTTTCAACAGAAACAAAATAACATCCTTTCAAAACAGGGGCTATAGAAATGTCCTTTTGACCTATTTTTATAGGGTTGCTATGGCAATATTCCCTTAAAAAGATCCCCTAATCTCCAGCTCTGTCATTGGTCCTTTCCACTTCCCCCTACTTTCTAATTTGTCCTTTCCACTTCCCCCTACTCTCTGATTGGTCCTTTCCACTTCCATCTGCTCTCTCATTGGTCCTTTCCACTTCCCCCTGCTCTCTCATTGGTCCTTTCCACTTCCCCCTGCTCTCTGATTGGTTCTCTCCACTTCCTCTCACTATCTCATTGGTTCTGTCCACTTCCTGTTTCCTGTTAGGTGGAGATGCTGGAGAGGAAGTATGGCGGTTACTTCCTCAGTCGGCGGGCGGCACGCACCATCCAGACGGCGTTCCGTCAGTACCGCATGAACAAGAACTTCGAGCAGCTACGAAGCTCTGCCTCTGAGAGCCGGGTGACTCGACGTATGATCCTGCCTAACATGAGACTGCAGTATTCGTTTGACGAGCGGCCGGGCCAGCCCCAAGGCCAGGGGGTTCAACAGGGACAGAGGTATCAGCACCCTGGAGGCCAGCCTGGGGATGAAGAGATGGAGGCTGGGTCTCCTCCACGCTGCCAGGGGGCCAGAGAGGAGGACACACACCTGGACGAGACCTTCTCCAAACAGGTGAGAGTCAGTAACACACCTGGACGAGACCTTCTCCAAACAGGTAATAATATAATAATAATATGCCATTTAGCAGACGCTTTTATCCAAAGCGACTTCCAGTCATGTGTGCATACATTTTTACGTATGGGTGGTCCCGGGGATCGAACCCACTACCCTGGTGTTACAAGCGCCATGCTCTACCAATTGAGCTACAGAGGACAGGGAGGGAGGAGACTTTCTCCAAGCAGGTGAGAGGAACAGGGAGGGAGGAGACTATGGGCAGGTTACCTGGACACATATTAAGACTAGTGCTGGACTATATAAAACAGCTCAATAGAGATTTTCCATTGACCAAGATTTTCAGTCTAAATCTGTGTTCTGCAAAGCAGCCCTAAGATGTTTGTGAGAGAGTCTACCACTACAACTCCTTCCACTGCCAAAACAGACATTCCCTTCAGAAAATGTACCTCTCTCGTTGTAAAAGATAATTTCTCAGGTCACGGTGACTTATCGTTCTGTCTTTATCCACCCTGTGTGACTTACCATTCTGTCTTTATCCACCCTGTGTGACTTACCGTTCTGTCTTTATCCACCCTGTGTGACTTATCGTTCTGTCTTTATCCACCCTGTGTGACTTATCGTTCTGTCTTTATCCACCCTGTGTGACTTATCGTTCTGTCTTTATCCACCCTGTGTGACTTATCGTTCTGTCTTTATCCACCCTGTGTGACTTATCGTTCTGTCTTTATCCACCCTGTGTGACTTACCGTTCTGTCTTTATCCACCCTGTGTGACTTATCGTTCTGTCTTTATCCACCCTGTGTGACTTACCGTTCTGTCTTTATCCACCCTGTGTGACTTATCGTTCTGTCTTTATCCACCCTGTGTGACTTACCGTTCTGTCTTCATCCACCCTGTGTGACTTATCGTTCTGTCTTTATCCACCCTGTGTGACTTATCGTTCTGTCTTTATCCACCCTGTGTGACTTATCGTTCTGTCTTTATCCACCCTGCGTGACTTACCGTTCTGTCTTTATCCACCCTGTGTGACTTACCGTTCTGTCTTTATCCACCCTGTGTGACTTACCGTTCTGTCTTTATCCACCCTGTGTGACTTATCGTTCTGTCTTCATCCACCCTGTGTGACTTACCGTTCTGTCTTCATCCACCCTGTGTGACTTATCGTTCTGTCTTCATCCACCCTGTGTGACTTATCGTTCTGTCTTTATCCACCCTGTGTGACTTATCGTTCTGTCTTTATCCACCCTGTGTGACTTACCGTTCTGTCTTTATCCACCCTGTGTGACTTATCGTTCTGTCTTTATCCACCCTGTGTGACTTACCGTTCTGTCTTTATCCACCCTGTGTGACTTACCGTTCTGTCTTCATCCACCCTGTGTGACTTATCGTTCTGTCTTTATCCACCCTGTGTGACTTATCGTTCTGTCTTCATCCACCCTGTGTGACTTACCGTTCTGTCTTCATCCACCCTGTGTGACTTATCGTTCTGTCTTCATCCACCCTGTGTGACTTATCGTTCTGTCTTTATCCACCCTGTGTGACTTATCGTTCTGTCTTTATCCACCCTGTGTGACTTACCGTTCTGTCTTTATCCACCCTGTGTGACTTATCGTTCTGTCTTTATCCACCCTGTGTGACTTACCGTTCTGTCTTTATCCACCCTGTGTGACTTACCGTTCTGTCTTCATCCACCCTGTGTGACTTATCGTTCTGTCTTTATCCACCCTGTGTGACTTATCGTTCTGTCTTTATCCACCCTGTGTGACTTATCGTTCTGTCTTTATCCACCCTGTGTGACTTATCGTTCTGTCTTTATCCACCCTGTGTGACTTACCGTTCTGTCTTCATCCACCCTGTGTGACTTATCGTTCTGTCTTCATCCACCCTGTGTGACTTACCGTTCTGTCTTCATCCACCCTGTGTGACTTATCGTTCTGTCTTCATCCACCCTGTGTGTGTTGTAGGTCAAGTCCCTGGCTGACTCCATCGATGACGCCCTGACCTGTCAGTCTGGTGTGGAAGACTTTCAGGAGGAGGAGGAGGAAGAGGAAGAGGAGGAGGAAGGTGACGGAGGCGAGACAGGGGTGGAGGCAGACGACTTTGGAGAGTGTGTTTGGAGACCGAGGGAGGGAGAAAGACAGAGGGGCGGAGGAAGAGGAGGAGTGGGAGGAAGAGGAGGAGGAGAGAGACAGAGCATGCACGAGGACAGCACAGCCACCTTCTACAGCGACGTGACCCTCTACATGGATGACGGGCTCCCTTCTTCGCCCCAGTCCCTGGACCGGGCCCCCAGCAGCACCGACACAGAGTACTGGAGCCCTGGAGTCTGTGGCGGCGGAGTAGGGGGGCGCGAGGACAGCCGGGACACAGCGGGAGGGGGCAGCAGTAACAGCCGACGCAGCACCCCCTGTACTGAGTGTAGAGACTACAGCCTGAGAGGAGCTCACCTGCCCCTGCTGACCATCGATCCACCTAGCGACAGCTCTGTTGATATGAGTGACCGCTCGGACCGTGGCTCTATAGGCAGACTGGTCTACGATACAGAACCAGGGGGAGGTGGTGGAGGAGGGTCGCTTCAGGGCACTATTAAACACAACCCCCACCCAAATCCTCACCCCAACCCCAACGGGCGAGCTGTCCCCATACCTCCCCTGGCCCAAGGCCAGATTCGTACTGTCCTCCCTCACCGCCCCCACACTCACCCTCACCCTCACCCCCACCCCCACCCCCACCCTCACCCTCACCCCCACCCTCACCCCCACCCGTCGGCCATCCCCTCCTACCTGCCACACACCCATCATCAGCTCCCATATCACCCTCTACACCACCACCCGTACCCCGACACCCCTTCCTCCTCCTCTCAGTCCCCCCAGGGACCACCCCTCACCCCGCTATCTTCCTCCTCATCTGCCACACTGCCCCCTGGTGGCCTGGAGCAGGTCTGCTGTTCTGACGGAGACAACGACTCTCTCAGCTCCACCACCAACTCTAACGATACCATCAACTGCTCCTCCGGGTCCTCGTCACGTGACAGCCTCCGCGAGCCCCTCCCACCGCTCGGAAAACAGACATATCAGAAAGAGAGCAGGCACAGCTGGGATAGCCCCGCCTTTAACAATGACGTGGTGCAGAGACGACAGTACCGCATCGGACTCAACCTGTTCAACAAGTAAGTTAGACAGTACCGCATCGGACTCAATCTGTTTAACAAGTAAGTTAGACAGTACTGCATCAGACTCAACCGGTTTAACAAGTAAGTTAGACAGTACCGCATCGGACTCAACCTGTTTAACAAGTAAGTTAGACAGTACCGCATCGGACTCAATCTGTTTAACAAGTAAGTTAGACAGTACCGCATCGGACTCAACCGGTTTAACAAGTAAGTTAGACAGTACCGCATCGGACTCAACCTGTTTAACAAGTAAGTTAGACAGTACCGCATCGGACTCCATCTGTTCAACAACTAAGTTAGACAGTACCACATCGGACTCAACCTCTAGTAAGTTAGACAGTACCGCATCGGACTCAACCTGTTCAACAAGTAAGTTAGACAGTACCGCATCGGACTCAATCTGTTCAACAAGTAAGTTAGACAGTACCGCATCGGACTCAATCTGTTCAACAAGTAAATTAGACAGTACCGCATCGGACTCCATCTGTTCAACAACTAAGTTAGACAGTACCACATCGGACTCAACCTCTAGTAAATTAGACAGTACCGCATCGGACTCAACCTGTTCAACAAGTAAGTTAGACAGTACCGCATCGGACTCAATCTGTTCAACAAGTAAGTTAGACAGTACCGCATCTGACTCAATCTGTTCAACAAGTAAGTTAGACAGTACCGCATCGGACTCAACCTGTTTAACAAGTAAGTTAGACAGTACCGCATCGGACTCAATCTGTTCAACAACTAAGTTAGACAGTACCACATCGGACTCAATCTGTTTAATAACTAAGTTAGACAGTACCACATCGGATTCAATCTGTTCAACAACTAAGTTAGACAGTACCGCATCGGACTCAACCTGTTCAATAACTAAGTTAGACAGTACCGCATCGGACTCAACCTGTTCAATAACTAAGTTAGACGTTATTGGACTCAACCTCTAGTAAGTTAGACGGTACCTGAGAAGGTGTGAGATAATGTAAGTAAGCCTTGTCCGAGCCAGAACCGAGCATTGTCTGAGCCAGAACGGCCCATTCTGTTGCGAGAACAGGGTTTTCAGCTTCAGGCTTAGAGAGCCACTGGGTGTGCAGGCTTTCATAACTGAGGTAACATACCTGATTCAGCTAAGGTTCAGACTAAAGACCATTCATTTGACTGATTGTTTGAATCAGGTGTGTTACTGCAGGGGTGCTTGGAAGGCCTGATCAGCCAGGAGATGTACAGAACCAGGGGCTGTTTTCTTTCCTCCTCCTCCTTTCCCTTCGCCTGACCACTCACACTAAATTATTCCGCTGCTCTGTCGTTTCGCTACCTAATTTAGTCTTAGACTGCCGTCATTGAAGTGGTTTGTGGAGACGAGGGGGAGCGAGGGGTGTTGTACAAAACAAAGTAATCAGCGACTGGATCGGCTCTAATCACAGCATCAAAGCCGATGACACGTTTGCAAATCGCCGCTTTACCCACGTGTGTTCCGGCTCTGGCCCAACCCATCGGTTTCTGGACCAATCGGACGGCCCCGAATGTGTTCGCATTCGGTGAAGGGTACTCGGATCCAGACTCATTGTGGAGAAGAAACTAACGTCCGTAGGCGTGGCCTAGCGTTTCGGCCAGAGCGAGGAGTGTGGGTAACCAGGCAACCTCTCCCTGCCTCTCTGTCAGCCCTTTAGGCGTCAGCATGCTTCACTCTGAGCTCGGCTAGCCAAACCGAACAAGTGTGCTCGCATACCACCTTAAAATACCTTTGTTTTGAAACACTCGAGAGAAAAAAAGCGGCAATAGTACTGTTTGTCCATTTTGAGACGCCGTAGCCGGTATGCACTTCCTCAAAATAGTCAAAATTAATTTAAGATAACTCAAGAAATCTGTCATTAATTTTTTGACGTTTTTGCAGAGGAGATTTTAGTCGCGCAATTTTGCGTCTGACTAGGATGTTTGGTGCAGTACTTCTCAAGTGTAATAATGTGCATGAGGAGGAGTCATCAGGCACTTCATTGAAGAATCCTTACTGTTGACCAATCGCCGACGAGGAGGGGGCGTAGACCTTGGCTACCGACTTCTGCTTGCCTTCAGAATAGTTTTTTCGTGTGCCTGAACTGTTACGAATTGTTTCGCCTGGGAAGCATACGGACGTCTTTAGGGATCTTTAACTTGAGTCTCTCAGATGTTGTAGGATCTGGTGTCTCTCTGTTTTGTCTAGAAAATGAGAAACCCCACAGTCACGCACCGGAAAGAAAATTGTCTTAGAAGTTTCATTAATTTACAGCAGAATATTTTTTCTTTTCTAGTGTATGTCTTTGCAACCCTGCACCCATAGACAGGCCCTAACAACCCAGAACCCATAGACAGGCCCTAACAACCCAGAACCCATAGACAGGCCCTAACAACCCAGAACCCATAGACAGGCCCTAACAACCCAGAACCCATAGACAGGCCCTAACAACCCAGAACCCATAGACAGGCCCTAACAACCCAGAACCCATAGACAGGCCCTAACAACCCAGAACCCATAGACAGGCCCTAACAACGCAGAACCCATAGACAGGCCCTAACAACCCTGCACCCATAGACAGGCCCTAACAACCCAGAACCCATAGACAGGCCCTAACAACCCTGAACCCATAGACAGGCCCTAACAACCCAGAACCCATATACAGACCCTAACAACCCAGAACCCATAGACAGGCCCTAACAACCCTGCACCCATAGACAGGCCCTAACAACCCAGAACCCATAGACAGGCCCTAACAACCCAGAACCCATAGACAGGCCCTAACAACCCTGAACCCATAGACAGGCCCTAACAACCCAGAACCCATAGACAGGCCCTAACAACCCAGAACCCATAGACAGGCCCTAACAACCCTGAACCCATAGACAGGCCCTAACAACCCAGAACCCATAGACAGGCCCTAACAACCCAGAACCCATAGACAGGCCCTAACAACCCTGAACCCATAGACAGGCCCTAACAACCCAGAACCCATAGACAGGCCCTAACAACCCTGAACCCATAGACAGGCCCTAACAACCCAGAACCCATAGACAGGCCCTAACCACCCTGAACCCATAGACAGGCCCTAACCACCCTGAACCCATAGACAGGCCCTAACAACCCAGAACCCATAGACAGGCCCTAACAACCAGAACCCATAGACAGGCCCTAACAACCCAGAACCCATAGACAGGCCCTAACCACCCTGAACCCATAGACAGGCCCTAACCACCCTGAACCCATAGACAGGCCCTAACAACCCAGAACCCATAGACAGGCCCTAACAACCCTGAACCCATAGACAGGCCCTAACAACCCAGAACCCATAGACAGGCCCTAACAACCCAGAACCCATAGACAGGCCCTAACCACCCTGAACCCATAGACAGGCCCTAACAACCCAGAACCCATAGACAGGCCCTAACCACCCTGAACCCATAGACAGGCCCTAACAACCCAGAACCCATAGACAGGCCCTAACAACCCAGAACCCATAGACAGGCCCTAACCACCCTGCACCCATAGACAGGCCCTAACAACCCAGAACCCATAGACAGGCCCTAACAACCCAGAACCCATAGACAGGCCCTAACAACCCAGAACCCTTAGACAGGCCCTAACAACCCAGAACCCATAGGCTTTCACAAGGACTGATGAGTTAGTTGAGGATGCCAGTTGATGAGTTAGTTGAGGATGCCAGTTGATGAGTTAGTTGAGGATGCCAGTTGATGAGTTAGTTGAGGAGGCCAGTTGATGAGTTAGTTGAGGATGCCAGTTGATGAGTTAGTTGAGGATGCCAGTTGATGAGTTAGTTGAGGATGCCAGTTGATGAGTTAGTTGAGGATGCCAGTTGATGAGTTAGTTGAGGAGGCCAGTTGATGAGTTAGTTGAGGATGCCAGTTGATGAGTTAGTTGAGGAGGCCAGTTGATGAGTTAGTTGAGGATGCCAGTTGATGAGTTAGTTGAGGATGCCAGTTCTTGATTCTCTGTGTTGTCTCACTCTACTTTAAGGCCAGTTCTTGATTCTCTGTGTTGTCTCACTCTACTTTAAGGCCAGTTCTTGATTCTCTTTGTTGTCTCACTCTACTTTAAGGCCAGTTCTTGATTCTCTGTGTTGTCTCACTCTACTTTAAGGCCAGTTCTTGATTATCTGTGTTGTCTCACTCTACTTTATGTCATTTTGGATGAAAGTGTCTGTTAAGTGGCATATACAGTATTTCATAATAATTCCTGTTTGTCTGTGTCTCTCCCTCGCTGCAGGAAGCCAGAGAAGGGTATCCAGTACCTGATAGAGAGAGGCTTCGTATCGGACACCCCAGTAGGCATCGCCCGCTTCATCCTGGAGAGGAAAGGACTGAGCAGACAGATGACAGGGGAGTTCCTGGGCTGCAGACAGAAACAGTTCAACAAGGACGTACTGGAGTGAGTGGCTAATCAGTCAACACTGCACTATACAGTACTGTGTTCTATCTCACTCTCTCTCTCTCACCCTTTCCTTTAGTAGAAGGATACATTATTAATCTGTCCCACTCTTCCTGTCTTCCTCTTTACTTCCTCCCTCTCTTCTTCTCTTACTTCATCCTTCCTCTTTACTTCCTCCCTCTCTTCTTCTCTTACTTCATCCTTCCTCTTTACTTCCTCCCTCTCTTCTTCTCTTACTTCATCCTTCCTTTTTACTTCCTCCCTCTCTTCTTCTCTTACTTCATCCTTCCTCTTTACTTCCTCACTCTCTTCTTCTCTTACTTCATCCTTCCTCTCTCTCTCTCTCTCTCTCTCTCTCCTCTTCTCCCTGTCCAGTTGTGTGGTGGATGAGTTGGACTTCTCAGGGATGGATCTGGATGATGCCCTCAGGAAGTTCCAGGCCCAGATCAAAGTCCAGGGGGAGGCCCAGAAGGTGGAGAGACTGATAGAGACTTTCAGGTAACTGGGACTTTTTTTGCAGCAGGACTATGGATACTATACTATAGTATGACTTGTGGATTTATGGACGTCTATGTTGTTGTAGTTTAGGTAGCTTATGTTGTCCACAACAGTATTCATTTCCTATTTTACTTTTTTGTGTCTGCTTGATATCTAATCTCTCTCTGTACTCCCCCCTCCCTCCAGTCAGCGGTACTGTGTGTGTAACCCGGTGCTGATCCAACAGTTCCAGAACCCCGACACCATCTTCATCCTGGCCTTCGCCATCATCCTCCTCAACACAGACATGTACTCTCCCAACGTCAAACCAGAGAGGAAGATGAAGCTGGAGGACTTCATCAAAAACCTCAGAGGTGAGGAGGATGCTGACTGTTTTCAGTACCTGATATAAAGCCATGACCTGTTTTTACTTCCTTCATTCTTACTCCTCAAAACAAACACCAGGAGGTGTACTACATCTATCATCAGTCCTCATCAGTATTCATCAGTCCTCATCAGTCTTCATCAGTCTTCATCAGTCTTCATCAGTCCTCATCAGTCTTCATCATTCTTCATCAGTCCTCATCAGTCTTCATCAGTTCTCATCAGTCCTCATCAGTCCTCATCAGTATTCATCAGTCCTCATCAGTCTTCATCAGTCTTCATCAGTCTTCATCAGTCCTCATCAGTCTTCATCATTCTTCATCAGTCCTCATCAGTCTTCATCAGTTCTCATCAGTCCTCATCAGTCCTCATCAGTCCTCATCAGTCTGTATCAGTCATCATCAGTCTTCATCAGTCTTCATCAGTCCTCATCAGTCTTCATCAGTCTTCATCAGTCCTCATCAGTCCTCATCAGTCTTCATCAGTCTTCATCATTCTTCATCAGTCCTCATCAGTCTTCATCAGTCTTCATCAGTCCTCATCAGTCCTCATCAGTCCTCATCAGTCTTCATCAGTCCTCATCAGTCTTCATCAGTCTTCATCAGTCCTATCATCTTCATCAGTCTTCATCAGTCCTCATCAGTCTCATCATCCTATCAGTCTTCATCAGTCCTCATCAGTCTCATCAGTCTTCATCAGTCCTAATCAGTCTCATCAGTCTTCAATGCTCATCAGTCCTCATCAGTCCTCATCAGTCTTCATCAGTCTCATCAGTCCCTCATCAGTCCTCATCAGTCTCTCATCAGTCTTCATCAGTCCTCATCAGTCCCCATCAGTCCTCATCAGTCTTACAGTCTCACAGTCTTCAATCAGTCTCATCAGTCTCATCAGTCCTCATTAGTCTTCATCAGTCCTCATCAGTCTATAGTCTTCATCAGTCCTCATCAGTCCTCATCAGTCTTCATCAGTCCTCATCAGTCATCATCAGTCTGCATCAGTTTCATCATCCTCATCAGTCCTCATCAGTCCTCATCAGTCTTCATTCAGTCTTCATCAGTCCTTCATCAGTCCCTTAATCAGTCCAATACAGTTTCATCAGTCTTCATCAGTTCCTCATCAGTCCCCCATCATTCCTTCATCAGTCCTTCATCAGTCTTCATTCAGTCTTCATCATTCTTCATCAGATCCTTCATCAGTCCTTCATCAGTCTTCATTTCAGTCCTTAATTCAGTCCTCATCATCCTAATCAGTTTCTCACAGGCTCATCAGTCCTATCAGTCCCCCATCAGTCTTCATCAGGCTTCATCAGTTCCTCCTCAGTCCTCATCAGTCCTCATCAGTCCTCATCAGTCTTCATCGGTTTCATCAGTTCCTTCATTCAGTCCATTCATCAGTCTTCATCAGGCTTCATCAGTCCTCATCAGTCCTCATCAGTCTTCATCAGGCTTCATCAGTCCTCATCAGTCCACATCAGTCCTCATCAGTCTTCATCAGTCTTCATCAGTCTTCATCAGTCCTCATCAGTCCTCATCAGTCTTCATCAGTCTTCATCAGTCCTTATCAGTCCTCATCAGTCCTCATCAGTCTTCATCAGTCTTCCCTTCCATCTACTTTTTATCTCTAGCTCTTCTTCTACAGAACTTTATGGAATCTCTATAGTAGTATTTGTATGTCAGTCCTTTTCTCTGTTCGCTAACACCCCCTCCCCTATGTGTGGTATGTCTCAGGAGTGGACAACGGTCAGGACATTCCCAGAGACCTGTTAGTAGGGATCTACCATCGTATAGAGAAATGGGAGCTACGCACCAACGATGACCACGTCTCACAAGTACAGGCTGTGGAGAGGGTTTTGGTCGGCAAGAAGCCTGTAAGTCTACATACAGTATAAATGTGTCCAGATTTCTCTATTGAGGCTTATATAAAATGTAAAGTGATTAGCTTATTTGAGCATTTTATCAAAGCACAGACTCAGATTTTCAAAATGGTATATCACTGTAGTTGGAGGGAAACATGGGGAAGGTATGCTGCTTTAAAAGTTAATAAACTTTTTTATCCTACTTAAGAGACAAGTAGGAAAATGCCCTTTGAAAGACTTTGCTGAGATTTCACACTTCCTAGAGAGCTCTTCTTTTGTTTACGCCCATTCAGCATTACTCACACCCTCTTAAGCCTTAGCCCCACCCACACATGTAAACAGGTGAGTCAGCATGCCATTGTGCTCCAGAAAGCAGTCTCTCTATTTAAACCCAGCTAAATTCAGGGCAGCCATGTTTTTTGAGAGCTGTAGCAACACTTTTGCAGTTGTCCAAAGCTTTATCTTTCCAAAAAAATCTGCAGTAGCAAAGATGACCTATATACTGACCAGGGAAGAGCCAATTCTGTTATAGACAGAAGCCTGTGACATGGCCAATCGGGACTCATCTCTCGGCAGGTCCATTATCTCAGCCAATCATGACTAGCCGGAAAGGATCCTGTCTTTCTCCCTGTATAGCTCAGCGCTTTCTCCTTAGCTAAACTAGTCTCATAATTGAAAAATGTTTGTTCATATTTGCAGATCCCAGACCAGTTTGTTATTAAGGCACATGCAAGTTCACATGTTCAAGAAAGCATTTCTGGGGAAAAAAATTAAATAATAATAATTCAAACGGTTCTACTGTGAAGTAGGAACTGCCGTCAAATGCCTCAGATCCTGTTACCGGTCACAAATGTCTACCACACAGGCTATGTACTGTAGCTAGAAGATTTGTGGTCCTCTGTAGCTCGGCTGGTAGAGCACAGCGCTTGTAACGCCAAGGGTAGTGGGTTCGATCCCCGGGACCACCCATACACAAAAAAAAAAATTATGCACGCATGACTGTAAGTCGCTTTGGATAAAAGCGTCTGCTAAATGGCATATTATTATTATTATTCTCTACCCATGGTAAAGGTCTGTTAGTGTGGACAAACCCCATACTGTAGACACACACAGATGTTGCCCGATATAAAGTTGGATTTTGTAAACATTTATGCTAAATTGTATATTTGGGCCGGTAAGCCTGAACTGCAGGCTAACCTTTCTGTGTTGTGTGTGCAGGTGCTTTCGCTGCCCCACCGCAGGTTGGTGTGTTGCTGTCAGCTGTACGAGGTGCCTGACCCTAACAGAAGCCAGAGGGCTGGAGTCCACCAGAGAGAAGTCTTCCTCTTCAACGACCTGCTCGTAGTAAGACTCACCTGTGTGCCCTCTCGGAGCGTCACGTCTGTACCACATAGTGGCCAACACAAATAACAAGATAGAGGATAGAGAGAGTTTTGTCAATGCTGAGAACAGAATGTACAGTATATGTTTTAAAGCAACATTCTTAGAACGTTCTCTGAACGTTACTAACGTTTTCTTGTGTTTTTTTTTTTGGAAGGTTTTCTTAATGTTCTGAGAACGGAATGTGTTTCTAATTAACATTCTTAGAATGTTCTCTGAACGTTACAAAAGTTTTCTTGTGGTTTTTTTTGGAAGGTTTTCTTAACGTTCTCTGAACAATTTGAGAACATGACTTTAAATAGAACCATGAGGAAACCTGTAGGAAATGTAATGCTGAAGTACTGAAATTCCCACATTGTTTCTTAATGTTCTTTGAACTATTTGAGAAGTTCAATGAGAACATTCCCAATGTCAAACCAGTTGGAGAACATCCCTAGAACATTACCAAAAAAAGAAATTAAATGTAACCATGTTTGAACTTTAGGAAAAGTTATGTTAACGTAGTGAAATACCAAATAAAATAACGTCAAGTTCCTTAATGTGCCGAGAATGTTCCAAAGCAACTATCCTGCACCATTCCCAGAAAGTTGTGGGAAGGTTGTGTGCAAAATAATCGTAGGACAACCACACTCTCACCAAGCTCTATGAAACATATGGTTCTCAGAACGTTAGGTGCTAGCTGGGTAACATAAATAAAGATGTTATCACTCATCCCACCTACAGGTAACCAAGATCTTCCAGAAGAAGAAGACCTCTGTGACATACAGTTTCAGACAGTCCTTCCCACTAGTCGAAATGCAGGTCCACATGTTCCAGAACCAGTGTAAGTGTGTGTGTGTGTGTGTTGGATTGCCTATGTGCATGTGTACTCCTGTAAGTATTGAGCTACATCCAGATTCTACACCCTTCTCCCAATGTGTGCACTTCACAGTGCGCACTAGCACACTTCCCGTCGTAGATTTTAAATCATAGGATTGGTATAAGCACTAGCTGGAGGGAGTTTCACCATTGGTAAAGCCATGACAGGAAGTGTTCAAGTGCACACTATGGGAGGGGTGCAGAATGGGGAGGCAGGATTTGTTACCCTGTGAAATGTACCCTGTGTGGTGTACCCTGTGTAATGTACCCTGTGTGATGTACCCTATGAGATGTACCCTGTGTGGTGTACCCTGTGAAATGTACCCTGTGTGGTGTACCCTGTGTGGTGTACCCTGTGTGGTGTACCCTGTGTGGTGTACCCTGTGTAATGTACCCTGTGTGGTGTACCCTGTGTGGTGTACCCTGTGTAATGTACCCTGTGTGGTGTACCCTGTGTGGTGTACCCTATGAGATGTACCCTGTGTGATGTACCCTGTGTGGTGTACCCTGTGTGGTGTACCCTGTGTGGTGTACCCTGTGTGGTGTACCCTGTGTGGTGTACTCTGTGTGATGTACCCTGTGAGATGTACCCTATGTGGTCTACCCTGTGCGATGTACCCTGTGTGGTGTACCCTGTGTGGTCTACCCTGTGCGGTGTACCCTGTGTGGTGTACCCTGTGCGGTGTACCCTGTGTGGTGTACCCTGTGTGTGTACCCTGTGTGTGTACCCTGTGTGATGTACCCTATGTGATGTACCCTGTGGTGTACCCTGTGTGGTGTACCCTGTGTGGTGTACCCTGTGAGATGTACCCTGTGTGGTGTACCCTGTGTGATGTACCCTGTGTGATGTACCCTGTGTGGTGTACCCTGTGTGGTGTACCCTGTGTGGTGTACCCTGTGAGATGTACCCTGTGTGGTGTACCCTGTGTGATGTACCCTGTGTGGTGTACCCTGTGAGATGTACCCTGTGTGATGTACCCTATGAGATGTACCCTGTGTGGTGTACCCTGTGTGGTGTACCCTGTGTGATGTACCCTGTGAGATGTACCCTGTGTGGTGTACCCTGTGTATGTACCCTGGTGAGTGTACCCTGTGTGTGTACCCTTGTGGTGTACCCTTGTAGTGTACCCTGTGTGGTGTACCCTGTGTGATGTACCCTGTGAGTGTACCCTGTGTGGTGTACCCTGTGTAATGTAACCCTGTGTGGTGTACCCTATGAGATGTACCCTGTGTGGTGTACCCTGTGTGGTGTACCCTGTGTGGTGTACCCTGTGTGGTGTACCCTGTGTAATGTACCCTGTGTGATGTACCCTGTGTGGTGTACCCTTGAGATGTACCCTGTGTGGTGTACCCTGTGTGGTGTACCCTGTGTGGTGTACCCTGTGTGGTGTACCCTGTGAATGTACCCTGTGTGGTCCCTTGAATACCCTGTGTGGTGACCCTGTATTACCCTGTGTGGTGTACCCTGTGAGATGTACCCTGTGTGGTGTACCCTGTGTGGTGTACCCTGTGAGATGTACCCTGTGTGGTGTACCCTGTGTGGTGTACCCTGTGTGGTGTACCCTGTGTGGTGTACCCTGTGAGATGTACCCTGTGTGGTGTACCCTGTGAGATGTACCCTGTGTGTGTCCTGTGGATGTACCCTGTGTGGTGTACCCTGTGTGGTGTACCCTGTGAGATGTACCCTGTGTGGTGTACCCTGTGTGGTGTACCCTGTGTGGTGTACCCTGTGTGGTGTACCCTGTGAGATGTACCCTGTGTGGTGTACCCTGTGAGATGTACCCTGTGTGGTGTACCCTGTGTGGTGTACCCTGTGTAATGTACCCTGTGTGTGTACCCTTGAGATGTACCCTGTGGTGTACCCTGTGTGGTGTACCCTGTGTGTGTACCCTGTGAGATGTACCCTGTGTGGTGTACCCGTGAGATGTCCGTGTGGTGTACCCTGTGGTGTACCCTGTGTAATGTACCCTGTGTGTGTACCCTGTGTGGTGTACCCTGTGTTGTGTACCCTGTGTTGTGTACCCTATGAGATGTACCCTGTGTGGTGTACCCTGTGTGGTGTACCCTGGTTGTGTACCCTGTGTATGTATCCTGTGTGGTGTACCCTGTGTGGTGTACCCTGTGTGTGTACCCTGTGTGGTGTACCCTGTGTGACCCTGTGGTGGTACCCTGTGTGGTGTACCCTGTGTGATGTACCCTGTGTGATGTACCCTGTGTGGTGTATCCTGTGTGGTGTACCCTGTGTGGTGTACCCTGTGTGGTGTACCCTGTGTGGTGTACCCTGTGTAATGTACCCTGTGTGGTGTACCCTGTGTGATGTACCCTGTGTGGTGTACCCTGTGTGATGTACCCTGTGTGGTGTATCCTGTGTAATGTACCCTGTGTAATGTACCCTGTGTAATGTACCCTGTGTGATGTACCCTGTGTGGTGTACCCTGTGTGGTGTACCCTGTGTAATGTACCCTGTGTGATGTATCCTGTGTGATGTACCCTGTGTAATGTACCCTGTGTAATGTACCCTGTGTGGTGTACCCTGTGTGATGTACCCTGTGTGGTGTACCCTGTGTGATGTACCCTGTGTGGTGTACCCTGTGTGGTGTACCCTGTGTGGTGTACCCTGTGTGGTGTACCCTGTGTAATGTACCCTGTGTGGTGTACCCTGTGTGGTGTACCCTGTGTGATGTACCCTGTGTGGTGTACCCTGTGTCTCCTCTCTCCCCTGCAGACTACCCCCATGGTGCCCGTCTGACGTCAGCCAACCCTGGCGGGGAAAGAAAGGTTCTGATTGTGTTTAATGCTCCGAGCCAGCAGGACAGAACACGCTTCACCTCCGACTTGAGAGAGAGCATCGCTGAGGTGCAGGAGATGGAGAAATACAGAGTTGAGTGTGAGTAAACTATACAATACTGGATAAAATACTTTATTATTCCATAGGGGAATATTACGGGATAGTATAATATACAACTAATGTGATAACCATATACCTTTTAAAGCAAAGTAATCCATAATGTGATAACCATATACCTTTTAAAGCAAAGTAATCCCTAATGTGATAACCATTTACCTTTTAAAGCAAAGTAATCTCTAATGTGATAACCATATACCTTTTAAAGCAAAGTAATCCCTAATGTGATAAACATATACATTTTAAAGCAAAGTAATCCCTAATGTGATAACCATATACCTTTTAAAGCAAAGTAAACCCTAATGTGATAACTAAGGGTTGTGGGTTCGATTCCCACGAGGGGCCAGTATTAAAAAATTATATATGCACTCACTAACTGCAAGTTGCTCTGGATAAGAGCGTCTGCTAAAATGACTAAAATGTAAATGTAAAATGTAATCTCTAATGTGATAACCATTTACCTTTTATAGCAAAGTAAACCCTAATGTGATAACCAGATACCTTTTAAAGCAAAGTAATCTCTAATGTGATAATCATTTACCTTTTAAAGCAAAGTAATCTCTAATGTGATAATAATTTACCTTTTAACGCAAAGTAATCTCTAATGTGATAACCATATACCTTTTAAAGCAAAGTAATCCCTAATGTGATAACCATTTACCTTTTAAAGCAAAGTAATCCCTAATGTGATAACCATATACCTTTTAAAGCAAAATAATCCCTAATGTGATAACCATATACCTTTTCAAGCAAAGTAATCCCGAATGTGATAACCATTTACCTTTTAAAGCAATGTAATCTCTAATGTGATAACCATATACCTTTTAAAGCAAAAATAATCCCTAATGTGATAACCATATACATTTTCAAGCAAAGTAAACCCTAATGTGATAACCATATACCTTTTAAAGCAAAGTAATCCCTAATGTGATAACCATATACCTTTTAAAGCAAAATAATCCCTAATGTGATAACCATATACCTTTTAATGCAAAAGAATCCCTAATGTGATAACCATTTACCTTTTAAAGCAAAGTAATCTCTAATGTGATAACCATATACCTTTTAAAGCAAAATAATCCCTAATGTGATAACCATATACCTTTTAAAGCAAAGTAAACCCTAATGTGATAACCATATACCTTTTAAAGCAAAATAATCTCTAATGTGATAACCATATACCTTTTAAAGCAAAATAATCCCTAATGTGATAACCATATACCTTTTAATGCAAAATAATCCCTAATGTGATAACCATATACCTTTTAAAGCAAAGTAATCCCTAATGTGATAACCATATACCTTTTAAAGCAAAGTAATCTCTAATGTGATAACTATATACCTTTTAAAGGAAAGTAATCTCTAATGTGATAATCATTTACCTTTTAAAGCAAAGTAATCCCTAATGTGATAATCCTATACCTTTTAAAGTAAAGTAATCCCTAATGTGAGAAACATATACCCTTTAAAGCAAAATAAACCCTAATGTGATAACCATATTCCTTTGAAAGCAAAATAATCCCTAATGTGATAACCATATACCTTTTAAAGCAAAGTAAACCCTAATGTGATAACCATATACCTTTTAAATCAAAATAAACCCTAATGTGATAACCATATTCCTTTGAAAGCAAAATAATCCCTAATGTGATAACCATATACCTTTTAAAGCAAAGTAAACCCTAATGTGATAACCATATACCTTTTAAAGCAAAATTATCCCTAATGTGATAACCATATACATTTTAATACAAAATAATCCCTAATGTGATAACCATATACTTTTTAAAGCAAAATAATCCCTAATGTGATAACCATTTACAGTGAGGGAAAAAAGTATTTGATCCCCTGCTGATTTTGTACGTTTGCCCACTGACAAAGAAATGATCAGTCTATAATTTTAATGGTAGGTTTATTTGAACAGTGAGAGACAGAATAACAACAAAATAATCAAGAAAAACACATGTCAAAAATGTTATAAATTGATTTGCATTTTAATGAGGGAAATAAGTATTTGACCCCCTCTCAATCAGAAAGATTTCTGGCTCCCAGGTGTCTTTTATACAGGTAACGAGCTGAGATTAGGAGCACACTCTTAAAGGGAGTGCTCCTAATCTCAGCTTGTTACCTGTATAAAAGACACCTGTCCACAGAAGCAATCAATCAATAAGATTCCAAACTCTCCACCATGGCCAAGACCAAAGAGCTCTCCAAGGATGTCAGGGACAAGATTGTATACCTACACAAGGCTGGAATGGGCTACAAGACCATCGCCAAGCAGCTTGGTGAGAAGGTGACAACAGTTGGTGCAATTATTCGCAAATGGAAGAAACACAAAAGAACTGTCAATCTCCCTCGGCCTGGGGCTCCATGCAAGATCTCACCTCGTGGAGTTGCAATGATCATGAGAATGGTGAGGAATCAGCCCAGAACTACACGGGAGGCTCTTATCAATGATCTCAAAGCAGCTGGGACCATAGTCACCAAGAAAACAATTGGTAACACACTACGTTGTGAAGCACTGAAATCCTGCAGCGCCCGCAAGGTCCCCCTGCTCAAGAAAGCACATATACAGGCCCGTCTGAAGTTTGCCAATGAACATCTGAATGATTCAGAGGAGAACTGGGTGAAAGTGTTGTGGTCAGATGAGACCAAAATCGAGCTCTTTGGCATCAACTCAACTCGCCGTGTTTGGAGGAGGAGGAATGCTGCCTATGACTCCAAGAACACCATCCCCACCATCAAACATGGAGGTGGAAACATTATGCTTTGGGGGTGTTTTTCTGCTAAGGGGACAGGACAACTTCACCGCATCAAAGGGACGATGGACGGGGCCATGTACCGTCAAATCTTGGGTGAGAACCTCCTTCCCTCAGCCAGGGCATTGAAAAGGGGTCGTAGATGGGTATTCCAGCATGACAATGACCCAAAACACAGGCCAAGGCATCAAAGGAGTGGCTCAAGAAGAAGCACATTAAGGTCCTGGAGTGGCCTAGCCAGTCTCCAGACCTTAATCCCATAGAAAATCTGTGGAGGGAGCTGAAGGTTCGAGTTGCCAAACGTCAGCCTCGAAACCTTAATGACTTGGAGAAGATCCGCAAAGAGGAGTGGGACAAAATCCCTCCTGAGATGTGTGCAAACCTGGTGGCCAACTACAAGAAACGTCTGACCTCTATGATTGCCAACAAGGGTTTTGCCACCAAGTACTAAGTCATGTTTTACAGAGGGGTCAAATACTTATTTCCCTCATTAAAATGCAAATCAATTTATAACATTTTTGACATGCGTTTCTCTGGATTTTGTTGTTTTTATTCTGTCTCTCACTGTTCAAATAAACCTACCATTAAATGTATAGACTGATCATGTCTTTGTCAGTGGGCAAACTTACAAAGTCAGCAGGGGAACAAATACTTTTTTCCCTCACTGTACCTTTTAAAGCAAAGTAATCTCTAATGTGATAACCATATACCTTTTAAAGCAAAATAATCCCTAATGTGATAACCATATACCTTTTAAAGCAAAGTAAACCCTAATGTGATAACCATATACCTTTTAATGCAAAATAATCCCTAATGTGATAACCATATACCTTTTAAAGTAAAATAATCCCTAATGTGATAACCATATACCTTTTAAAGCAAAGTAATCCCTAATGTGATAACCATATACCTTTTAAAGCAAAGTAATCTCTAATGTGATAACCATATACCTTTTAAAGCAAAGTAATCTCTAATGTGATAATCATTTACCTTTTAAAGCAAAACAATCCCTAATGTGATAATCCTATACCTTTTAAAGGAAAGTAATCTCTAATGTGATAACCATTTACCTTTTAAAGCAAAGTAATCTCTAATGTGATAACCATATACCTTTTAAAGCAAAACAATCCCTAATGTGATAATCCTATACCTTTTAAAGGAAAGTAATCTCAAATGCAGTGCTTCTCAATTATTTTCTGTTACGCCCCCCCTAGGAAGAAGTAAACATTTCGCGCCCCCCCAACTCTCCGCCGCAACTGTATATAAAATATAGATCAACTTACAACAAAGAATAACTTTATTAACATTGTTTTTAGTCTGTAACAGAAAATACTAAAAATGCATAAATTTGCCTGAAATTTAAAAAAAAAGTCAAACCTTATTTAAACTGTAAACATTTTTTGACCATTTGATACTGAAAAATTAAATAAAATATAATCAATAAATAATAATACATTCAAATTGATCAGCAACATTAACTCAGGAGCACAATATATGAAACACTTTGACCTATAAAACAAAAATGAATAAAACAATTTGTGCTGATTATTATTATTTTTTAAATAAAAATGAGGAAGTCAGGATTAATGGCTACAATGAGCACGTTTTGCAGTGCACAGCTTTTCGAAGCGGGGTTTGAAGCATGATACTGCAATTCTCAGCTCCTGCTCAATGTTTAGCTGGGACCTGTACTTGGTCTTCAGTGCAGCAACAGCAGAGAAGCCAGTCTCACAAAGATAAGATGTTGCAAAAGGAAGAAGAATGCCCATGGCCCTCTGCCCTAAGAGTGGATACTGCCTCTCTACACTCAGCCAGAATTCACTCAGTGTCTGTGATGTGAACCTCAGTCTCAATGTGGAGTCAGACGTCATATCAATGAACTGGTCCTCCTCTGCAGAGCTGAAACCAGTTGGAGCTGGTGCATTGAAAGGATCTCTCACCCAGTCATATTGGGAACTGTTTTCAGGGAATTACTTTTTAAAGAATCCCATCAGTGATGAAATATGCTCCTTAATATATGGAATCACTGAGGTGGCATCATAGTCAGTAGTGTCAACAAATTCATGCAGGTTCTCGAATGAATCAGTATTTCCTTCATCAAGTCGCCTGCCCCACATTGCAAGCTTTCGAGTGAAAGAGCTGATCTTGTCTGTGACCTGAGGGAGGTGTTTATCTTTCCCTTGAAGCTGTAGATTTAGTTCATTTAGCTTTCCAAATATGTCACTCAGGTAGGCCAGTTTTGCCAGGAAGTTCTCATCACTAAATTTTTCTGCGAGGTCATACTTGTGCTCCTGCTCCGAAAACATTCTTATCTGCTCTCTGAGCTCAAAAACTCGGGACAAGACTTTTCCTCGTGACAGCCACCTTGCTTCACTGTGAAACAGCACAGCTTGATGTTCAGCTCTCATCTCCTCACAGATAGCAGAGAAGACTCTTGTTTTTAGTGGTCTGGTCTTTATAAAATTGACTACACCTACAATGTCAGTCATAACCTCACTTAATTCAGAGAAAAGGTGCCTTGATGCCAGTGCTTCTCTGTGTATAACACAGTGTGTCCACTCAGCATTAAGTGAGGCCTTCTTGATGAGTGCCAGAAGTCCTTTTCTCATCCCTGCCATGGTCTGTGCACCATCACTGCAAACACCAATGCAGTTCTCCCACTTTAGCCCATTCTCAGTCAGGAAGCAGTCCAGCATTTTGAATAGCTCTTCAGCTGTGGCTCTGTCTCTGACATATTTACAAAAAAATAGATCCTCACACAGGGAGTTTGTCATGTCAAAACGTACATAAGCGATAAACAAACATTCTTTGTTGCTGTCAGTTGCTTCATCGAACTGTAAGGCAAAACGTTTGTCTTTGAGTTTATCTACCAGCTGTTCTTTAAGATCGTTAGCAATGTCATTTATACGTCTGGCGACAGTGTCATTGGACAGAGGGATAGTTTTTATTTTTGCAGCATGACAGAGACCATGTCTAATGCTGCAGGCAGTATCAGCTCCTCTGCTATGGAGTGTTTTTTTTTGCACTGAGCAATTTGGAACGCCACCTTATATGATGCTAACAGTGCTCGCTGGTTTACTGAAGTAGCATTCACAAAGCGGGACGATTGTTTGCAATTTTCGGCACGTTTTCGCTGAAAACTCAAGCGGCTTATCAGCGTGATTGGGGTGTAATGTCTTTAAGTGACGCCTTAATTTATTTGGCTTCATGCTGTCCGCTGCCAACATTTTTAGACACAGTAAACATACCGGTCTTTCCTCGTCTCCCACCGTAGTCACAGTGAAGCCAAGCGCTACATACGCTTCATCATATTTCCTCGTCTTAGCTTTCGGGAGACTTACGTTTGTCTCAGTATCTCCGTCTCTCTCCGCCTTTCTTTTCATCCCAGTTGAATATGTTTCCATGGTGTCTCCTAAGGGTTTGTTATCTGCACTTCATATCTCCTGCTCTGTGCTGTGTGCTCTTGTTCGGTGCAAAAAAACCCTACTCCCTGCGGCAAAAAAAAGCATGTTCCCCGGGGTCACACGCGCCCCCCCCGGCATTGCTCCGAGCCCCCCCAGGGGGGCGCGCCCCACTATTTGAGAAGGACTGCTCTAATGTGATAACCATTTACCTTTTAAAGCAAAGTAATCTCTAATGTGATAACCATATACCTTTTAAAGCAAAGTAATCCCTAATGTGATAACCATATACCTTTTAAAGCAAAGTAATCTCTAATGTGATAACCATATACCTTTTAAAGAAAAGTAATCTCTAATGTGATAATCATATACCTTTTAAAGCAAAGTAATCCCTAATGTGATAATCCTATACCTTTTAAAGGAAAGTGATCTCTAATGTGATAACCATTTACCTTTTAAAGCAAAGTAATCTCTAATGTGATAACCATATACCTTTTAAAGCAAAGTAATCCCTAATGTGATAACCATATACCTTTTAAAGCAAAGTAATCTCAAATGTGATAACCATATACCTTTTAAAGCAAAGTAATCTCTAATGTGATAACCATATACCTTTTAAAGCAAAGTAATCTCAAATGTGATAACCATATACCTTTTAAAGCAAAGTAATCTCTAATGTGATAACCATATACCTTTTAAAGCAACGTAATCCCTTCCCACTCTTATTCTCTACTCACTTCTTGGTCTCTTCTCTCTTCTCTCTCTCTCTGCCGTGCTCTTCCTCTCCCTCCTCTCTCTCTCTCTCTCTCTCTCTCTCTCTCTCTCTCTCTCTCTCTCTCTCTCTCTCTCTCAATTCAATTCAATTCAATTCAATTTCAATTCAATTGAAGGGCTTTATTTGCATGGGAAACGTATGTTAACATTGCCAAAGCAAGTGAAGTAGATAATAAACAAAAGTGAAATAAACAATAAATATTAACAGTAAACATTACATTCACAAAAGTTCCAAAGGAATAAAGACATTTCAAATGTAATATTATGTCTATATACAGTGTTGTAATAATGTGCAAATAGTTAAAGTACAAATGGGAAAATAAATCAACATAAATATGGGTTGTATTTACAATGGTGTTTGTTCTTCACTGGTTGTCCTTTTCTTGTGGCAACAGGTCACACATCTTGCTGCTGTGATGGCACACTGTGGTATTTCACCCAGTAGATAAGGGAGTTCTCGATGGGAGGTTCTCTGATCGGGAGTAGGGAGGAGAAGCAAGGAAGAAAAACAGAAAGAATCAGAGAGAGAGGCATACGAGGATGAAGATGAAGAGAGTATTGAGCGCGAGAGCGGAAGCGCTCGCTAGAGAGAGAAGCCTGCTCGGAGCGAGAGAGACGTAGAGCGAGGGAGAACCCCTATCCGCTCTCTCATCTATCCTCTCTCCTCTCTCTCGCTCTCTATCTCTCTCTCCTCCTCTCTCTCTCTGTCGCTCCTCTCTCTCTCTATATATCTCTCTCTCTCTCTCTCTCTCTCTCTCTACAGCGGAGTTGGAGAAGCAGAAAGGGGTGATGAGGCCAGTTGTGGACGGGTCTGGCGGTGTTGGTCCTAGCTGCGGCGTGAAGGCGGTGAACGGCACTCTGGGTAGGCCCAGTCTGGACGACAGCTATGTCTCTGCAGACGGACTAAAACGTACCGCGCTCAGCTCATCACTGAGAGACCTAGCAGACACAGGTATATACACAGGTAGACACACACACATGACAGACATACTGGACACCAGACCTGGGTCAAATACATGTGTGAAATACTTTCTAATATGTAGGCCTATCTTATGAATACAACCTTAACAAAAACAACCTTATAAATAGCTTTTCGCTGGCAGTTAAATGCTCACTTAACTTTTTAAACATCTAAAATTGAAATATACATTTAATATAATTTAATAATTTAATATAATATATATTTATAAATATAATTTTAAAAAAAAAATTGTGAAGATGTCAATAGAGTGTTAGACGAAACAAAGTGATTTGAAACAAACAGTCATTCAGCAGGGCGTTGTACAGTCATTCTGACTGAAGGTCGGAGCCAAGGCCTGCTGTGTTGTGAGGGAGGGAAGTGTTAATTATAGAACAGATCGTGATCCACAGAAAGAGAGAGAGAGCACAGTGCTAAGGAACTGTTATTGCAGCAGGTTGACGTTTATTGGGACGAGTCTTGTCCTTGAGGAAGAACTGAGCGATTTCCGTTACATGGGCCAGTTGCAAAGTCAAAATTGGCTATATGAATGAATTAATGAATGAATTATTGAATGAATTACATTAAATTTTTTGTGTCAAATCCGCAGTTGGGAAACCTTCCCTTATGGGATTAATTGACAAATAAACAAACATTACAATAATTTACCGTGATCATTCTTCTTCCGGTGTTCTCTGCAGTGCGCATCGCATAAAGAGTGAAAAAAATATATATACAGTACCAGTCAAAAATTTGGACACACCTACTCATTCAAGGGCTCAATTCAAGGGATGGTAATTTTTGAAAAAAAAAATTTTTTTTGGGAAACCCCCCAAAAAAAACCCCCTTAAAAGGGTTTTAAAAATTTTTAAAATTTCAAAACCTAATCTTTTTTTAAAAAAACCAAAAAACCCTTTATAAAATTTTTAAAAAAAAAGCCAAAAAATTTTTAAAAAAAAGAAATTCTTTTTTTAAATTTTATTTAATATAAAAAAAAAATTTTTTTTTAAAAAAAAAGGGGTTTTTCCAAAAAGTGTTAAACAAAAAAATATTTAAAAAAAGTTTCCAATTTTACAAATTTACTGGGGGGCAGCAAGGTTTTTTTGGGGGGGAAAAAAGGGTTTTTTATAAATAAAACCCCCCAAAGGGGGGGGGGGGTAAGGAATTTATTTCACATTTTTCCTTTAGGGGGGGTTTTCCCTTAGGAAGAAAGGTTTGTTTGGGAGGGAAACCCAAAAAGGCTTTTGGGAAAAAAAAAATTTTTAAAAAAAAAATTTTTTTTGGAAACCCGGCGGGAAACCTTCCCGGGGAAATAAAAAAAAAACAAAATTTTTCCCGGCCCTTTTTTCGGGTTTTGGGGGGGCCCCAAAAAAAAAAAAAATTATTCTACCAAAAAATTGGCCCCACCATTAAGGGATTTTTTTTTTTTTCCATTTGTAGTAATAGGGGAAGAAGCCAAACATGAAATCCATTGGTTTTTTAAAACCCAAAAAGGAAAAAAAATAAAAAAAAAGGGAGAAAAAAAAATTTTTTAAACCCAAGCAAAAAAAGGGATTAAATGGTCATTCACCTTAAGCGGGGGAAAAAAAAACCCTTTAAAGGTTTTTTTTGGGGGGGGGGGGTAAAGGAAAAAAACCCCCCCGGGTTTTTAAAAAGAGGGGGTTTAAATCCGGAATTGGGGGGGTCCGCGTAGGGGTCAGGGGGGTTCCCCGGGGGTTTTAGAGCGGAACAGGGATGGATGGGAAATTCTTGAGAGGGTAGGGGGGAAAAAACGAGGGGAGCCATCCCCGGGTTTTTCAAGGGGAAAGGAGGAGGGGGGACGGCCCCCGTAGGGGCCCGGTCGGGGAAGGGCCCCGGGAGGGGGAAGGCGGGTAAGGGGGGGGGGAAAAGGTGGGAAAACCAAAAGGGGCGGGTTTAAAATTTGGGGTTTAAGGACGGGGGGGAGAAAGGAGGGGGAAAAAAGGGGGTGCAATCCCGGGTAGGACCTTGGGGGAAGGGGGGTCAAAACCGGGGGGGAAAAAAACAAGGGGGGGATTTAGGGGAAAACACATTTTTTGGGCAGAAAGGGTTTTGATTAAAAAACCCCAAAAATTAAAAGGAGGCTTTTATAAAGGGGGCGTCCTTCCCCAAAAGGACTGTTTCCCGGGGCGTTAGGGGGCGATAAAACGAAGCCCAACTAAAGACATTAGTTAAAAAGGGGGAAAGGAAAGAAAGGGTTGTTCGCAGCCAAGATAAAAAAGGCCTGTGGGTTTTGACAGGCCAAATGGGGGGGAAAGGGGGGAAAGGGGGAAAAACGGCCCTGGGGGAAAAAGGGGGAAGGGGGGGGAGACGTTCCCCCTGGAGGAGGAGCAGGGGGCCCCCAACCAAAGGGAGCGGGGGGGCCCCGGGGGAGGGAGGGGAAAGGGGGACGGGGGGCCCAGGAGGGAAAAGGAGAGGGGGGGGAAGAGAGTTAGTTTTAAGGTCGGAGGCCCTGAAAAAAAAATCTCATTGAATGACGTTAAAAAAACCCTGGGGGAAAAGGGGTTTTGGGAAGGATCAAGAGAGTTGGAAAGAGGCAGTAATTGGGGGAAAAAAAGGAAGGGTAGGGTTGGGGAAAAAAAGGGAAAAGGGGGTTGGTTTTTTGGGGAAAGGGGGGGGGCCCCCCCCCCCCTTTTTTTCCCAAATTTGCCCGGGGAAAAAGGAAAGGGGTTGGCGGGGGGAGAAGGTACAAAAGGGAAAAAAAGGGGAAAGGGGAAAGGGGGGGTCCGGGAGGGGGGGGGGGTCAAAGGCAGTTTTGGGAAAAAAAAGAAAAAAATGGCAAAGAGCTTCCTAGGGTAGAGGCGGGATGCTTGGAATTTAGAGTGCGTAGAAAAGTGGCACTAGCAGCAGAAACTTAGCTGAGAAAATGTAGAGAGGAGGGAGTGAAAAGATGCCAGGTCCGCAGGGAGTCTAGTTTTCTTCCAATTTCCGCTCAGCTGCCCCGGAGCTCTGTTCTGTGAGCTGCAATGAGTAATCAAGCACAGGAGCTGGAGGGGAGGACCGAGCCGGCCGGGGAGGGGGATAGGGGACATAGAGAGTCAAAGGATGCAGAAAGGGAGGAGAGGAGGGTTTGAGGAGGCAGAATCAGGAGATTGGAGGGAGAAGGATTGAGCAGAGGGAAGAGATGATAGGATGGAAGAGGAGAGAGTAGCGGGAGAGAGAGAGCGAAGGTTGCGACGGCGCATTACCATCTGTGTAGGGGCAGAGTGAGTAGTGTTGGAGGAGAGGGAGAGAGAAAAGGATACAAAGTAGTGGTCGGAGACTTGGAGGGGAGTTGCAGTGAGATTAGTAGAAGAACAGCATCTAGTGAAGATGAGGTCAAGCGTATTGCCTGCCTTGTGAGTAGGGGGGGACGGTGAGAGGGTGAGGTCAAAAGAGGATTTGAGTGGAAAGAAGGAGGCAGAGAGAAATGAGTCAAATGTAGACGTAGGGAGGTTGAAATCCCCCAGAACTGTGAGGGGTGAGCCATCCTCAGGAAAGGAACTTATCAAGGCGTCAAGCTCATTGATGAACTCTCCAAGGGAACCTGGAGGGCGATAGATGACAAGGATATTAAGCTTAAATGGGCTAGTGACTGTGACAGCATGGAATTCAAATGAGGAGATAGACAGATGGATCAGGGGAAAAATTGAGAATGTCCACTTGGGAGAGATGAGGATTCCTGTGCCACCACCCCGCTGACCAGATGCTCTCGGGGTATGCGAGAACACATGGTCAGACGAGGAGAGAGCAGCAGGAGTAGCAGTGTTTTCAGTGGTAATCCAACTTTCCGTCAGCGCCAAGAAGTCGAGGGACTGGAGGGTAGCATAGGCTGAAATGAACTCTGCCTTGTTGGCAGCAGAACGGCAGTTCCAGAGGCTGCCTGAGACCTGTAACTCCACGTGGGTCGTGCGTGCAGGGACCACCAGGTTAGAGAGGCAGCAGCCACGCGGTGTGAGGCGTTTGTGTAGCCTGTGCGGAGAGGAGAGAACAGGCATAGGCAGATGCATAGTTGACAGGCTGCAGCAGATGGCTACAATAATGCAGAGGAGATCGGAATGAAATGAACTAAACATCTGGGAAAGGAGAGAGCGGGGCCTCCCTCACCACAACTCCCAAATATAACTCTCCCAACTTCCACCTCAGAAACTATAATTGTTGTAAACTACAGCGGTTCAATGTTTTCTAGGAATAGACTAACTTAGTTTATTCAGCTAGCTAACTAGGTGCAGTATTATTCCGTGAAAAATGTCCGGGCACCTCGTCATAAGACGCCACAGCCAGCTAGCATGCCGGTCTCCAACAACACGGTTTAGCGCCAATACTCAGCCACAACAAACCACCAGTGTATCAACACGCAAGCAGATCGTTCGTGTCCGTGTCTAACGTTGTGGGTTAGTCCCGACAGCTTGAGCGAGTCCGTCGTCAACTTATTCAGCCAGTTAGTTAGCTAGAATAGTTAGCAAACTAGCTAGCCATTGCTTTCAGACAAAGAAGAACCCCTCCTTTCACGGCACGAACACAAAGAGAGCCAAACTAACGTTAACTAGTCACCCATGTCCCGAATTCCTTGAACGACTCGGGCTATCAATATGTAAAAAACAAAACACAAGTGCAGGTTATGACTTACCCCTAGCAGCTACTGTTAGCTAGCCAAGTGCAAAGCTAGACACTGAATTGACTCAGCCAGTTCGCGTCTGTTCGCTCGGTCGTTCCAGCTATTGTTTGCTAGTAGCTATCCAGGTAGCAACAAGCTAGCTAAATTTTAAGCACAGTAGCCACTTGCTACCTAACGTTAACGGTTCAGACAATGAGGTTAGAAAACAGCTGAATGGTAGGCAGTTCTTGTATGTAATTATTGTATGTAATTATTGTAGGCAGCCAGCTGGCGTAATTACAAGCACTCTCAGGCGTGAAACAACTATACCGTTGCTAATAGCTACTCGCCAGCTAGTCCAGGTGGTGAGTTAGCTAGCTAGCTAGCTTCGTGCTACACCCGGCACCGCCGAATACAGTACTAACCTACAATAATTACATACAACAACCCACGATACCTACCTACAATACCTAACTACAATCTAAATACGTAGTTTAAGCCTTACTCGACAAACCCAAGCTATGTATAAAGCCAAACTTACCCGACGCCAAGCTTACCCGACAACCTCCTTCTCAGCTCAGCTCAGTTGTTGCTCAGCTCAGCTCAGTTGCCATGAACTCTGTGAAGTATTTATTTGGCCTGCAATATCTGAGGCTGGTAACTCTAATGAACTTATCCTCTGCAGCAGAGGTAAATCTGGGTCTTCCATTCCTGTGGCGGTCCTCATGACAGCCCGTTTCATCATAGCGCTTCATGGTTTTTGCGACTACACTTGAAGAAACTTTCGAAGTTCTTGAAATGTTCTGTATTGACTGACCTTCATGTCTTAAAGTGATGATGGACTGTCATTTCTCTTTGCTTATTTGAGCTGTTCTTGCCATAAAAATGGACTTGGTCTTTTACCTAATAGGGCTATCTTCTGTATACCAACCCTACCTTGTCACAACACAACTGGTTGGCTCAAACGCATTAAGAAGGAAAGAAATTCCACAAATTCGCTTTTAAAAAGGCACACCTGGTAATGCATTCCAGGTGACTACCTCATGAAGCTGGTTGAGAGAATGCCAAGAGTGTGCAAAGCTGTCATCAAAGCAAAGGGTGACTATTTGAAGAATCAGAAATATAAAATATATTTTGATTTGTAAAGACATTTTAAAAAATGAAAGGTTACTGCGTGATTCCATATTGTGTTATATCATGGTGTTGAGCTCTTCACTATTATTCTACAATGTAAAAAATAGTAAAAATAAAGAAAAACCCTTGAATGAGTAGGTGTGTCAAAAACTTTTGACTGGTAGTGTATATATATATATATATATATATATATATATATATTTATATATATATATATATATACACACAGTGGGGGAAAAAAGTATTTAGTCAGCCACCAATTGTGCAAGTTCTCCCACTTAACCCTCCCGTTGTCCTAGGGTCAAAATGACCCGCCACTGTGTTGAACCAACTTTATTTAATTTTTATATTTTTGGGATCATTTGTGAGAAGGAGGCAGTGAGACTTCTTCTCACAAATGATCCCAAAAATATAAAAATTAAATAAAGTTGGTTCAACACAGTGGCGGGTCATTTTGACCCTAGGACAACGGCAGGGTTAAAAAGATGAGAGAGGCCTGTAATTTTCATCATAGGTACACGTCAACTATGAAAGACAAAATAGAGATTTTTTTTCTCCAGAAAATCACATTGTAGGATTTTTAATGAATTTATTTGCAAATTATGGTGGAAAATAAGTATTTGGTCACCTACAAACAAGCAAGATTTCTGGCTCTCACAGACCTGTAACTTCTTCTTTAAGAGGCGTCTCTGTCCTCCACTCGTTACCTGTATTAATGGCACCTGTTTGAACTTGTTATCACTATAAAAGACACCTGTCCACAAACTCAAACAGTCACACTCCAAACTCCACTATGGCCAAGACCAAAGAGCTGTCAAAGGACACCTGAAACAAAATTGTAGACCTGCACCAGGCTGGGAAGACTGAATCTGCAATAGGTAAGCAGCTTGGTTTGAAGAAATCAACTGTGGGAGCAATTATTAGGAAATGGAAGACATACAAGACCACTGATAATCTCCCTCGATCTGGGGCTCCACGCAAGATCTCACCCCGTGGGGTCAAAATGATCACAAGAACGGTGAGCAAAAATCCCAGAACCACATGGGGGGACCTAGTGAATGACCTGCAGAGAGCTGGGACCAAAGTAACAAAGCCTATCATCAGTAACACACTACGCCGCCAGGGACTCAAATCCTGCA